GAACAGGTGACAACTTTAACACGTGAACATTGGCAGCGCTGTCCGTAGCAGAAGGCGAAGGGAGAACCCAAACATGAACTCGTCCAACCCAGCAGGAAATTTACCTTCCCAACAGGGTTACCCTCCTCCCGTTCCCGATCAGCAGTTTGTGAGTTTAATACTGGTTGAATTTGTGATGATCTGTATGTGATGACATGTTTTTTCCAGTTTGTAGGGTTGAGATTATTGGATTTTTTGGGTTCTTATGAAACTCCCGTTCGGTTCGGGTTATATTTTTTATGAATGGACGGAGGAAATTCAGTGTGTTTTGGTAATGATAGATTCAGTAGCACATATAATCTTAAACTTTCTTGGAAATGGAACGTATATTCTGGCAAGAGAATAGTTACAGTCAGTACGTTGTTAAATAATGAGCCAGATTGGTAGTTTGGCATTGCATCATTGTTTTTTTTTTTAATTATTTACCAAATTATGTTTTGTAAGACACTGGCTGTTATTAATAGTTATCAGTATCTCATATAAGATTTCTCTGAAGTGTTGTTTTTATTATTAGAATGGTAGGTCCACAACCTTATAGTCCTGTACTTTGGCATTAATTACTTTTGTTGATATAATTTGGTAAATACTCAGAATACCTTTGCATTACTGATCACAATGAAAGTGGTATCTATAGATTCCCCTCACTCTCTACTACCCATATATACAGAAATTTTGCCGCAGAACCCCTCTCTAATATCCCCAGTCTTTGGTACCGATAGCATGGGAGGGCATGGATGGAACCATTGAAACTTCATGGTAAAACATGAGTAATGTACAAAAAATTGGTCAATATATAGTCATATGAAGGGAGCACAGCCCCCTGCATGTATCCACCATATATGTACGGCAGGATGGAGCATAGGACAGACTCGGCATTGGGCGCACATGTATGCTGCTGTGAATATGAAGAGGATTCTGTCTTCCAGGATGGGGTATGGGACTGGTAGCCCCATAGGGGTTGTATATTATTCATATTTTATCCAGCACTTTCCCTGCTATCTGCTATAGAGGCCAACATTATGAGGATTTGGGGGGTTTCCATGGCAAATGTTCCATACATATTGGTACTAGAGAGTAAGAATACATTGAAACCACTTTTTCATGATTGGTCAATTTAAAGGTATTCTAAACAATTACCATATTAACCTTTTAAAGAATAACAGAATTACTGGTATGTATCATTATTGATGGAAACAAGAAATAGGTTGTATCTATAATCTCTCTTTTATTTATGTAAAAATTTAGAGAAATAGGCATCATTATAATGAGATGTATAACAACACAAACATGAGTATATATGATATTTTTTCTTTGTGCTAAAATTATATGATTGTTTAGGCCAGCTGTACTCTCTAAAAAAAAAAAATTGCCCATGTAAACTACACAGGCAACAACTACAGATTTAAGATAGAATCCTGCAAGTGTATGCACATGGTGGAATTTTTGGTCAGTATTAATCTGTCAACAATATGTATGGATTTGACAAAGATGCATACATACCTTTTTATCCAATGATTGTTCAAAAGGCACCCAATAACCAAGGAATCAAATACTTGCCATTTGAATAATAAGTTTTCTGTTACTGTTATTATTTTTGTTTTTATATTTATTGAAATTATGAAAATTGTGTTTATGATTATGATAGCAATAATTTAATGATTTTACTAATTTATTCATATCATTAGAATTTAAGGATTAAAGTAAATAGTTGAGATCAAGTTGGCTATCCATATATAAAAATGATAAATAATAAGATTGATTAAAAATGAGCATATAGACCTAACTCATAGTGGACAATGCATGCATAACATGCATTGCCAGCATAAAAGAATTAAGGATAAGAGGTAAATGAGGAAGGACAAGATCATTTTTATTAGAATGTTATTAATGGCACCATGGTTTTAATTTTAATTTTAATAGAAATGTGTATACTAATCCTTTTTCAATATTATTTAGTAAAGTAGCATTTTCGTTTAGATTTATTATGTAGTCATTAGTTGTGTTCAAAGACAAATTTGTATTTAGCCTTCAGAGATGGGTATGGCTATACCTGTCATGACTTAATGGGCTCTGACATATATGCGCGTCATGACTCGCATTGGGTGGGCTGGCTGTATAGAGTTTAGGCCTAGCCACAAAGTCTTACATCACAAAAAACTCAGACCACACCATCATAGAGTTAAGAGTTTAAAAGGTTACTTTGTATTAGTAGACATCTGGAGACAATAGCAGCTCATTTTTTTCATAAAATAAGATCTCTTTAGAATGTTTCAACCAAATGATTTAATGTATTGGAGAACTGTAGTCATAATAGAGTAAGGCTTTTCACTTACATTAAAAAAATTATTTTCTCCTCTCAGCAGAAACCAGTGTTCAACCAAGAGGAGCTGCGAGTTCTGAGAGAATGCAACCTAGAATCATTTTACTATCGCTGTGTCCCTCTTGCAGCAGCTTTTACAAG